CTTAAAGTTTGGGACTCAGGTACAATAATGGATCCTTCAATATTACAGTTTACTACTACGGTCATTCCCCTATCAATAGCAATAAGATACTTTTAGGTATCCAGAAAACCTTTTGTATTCTCCCAAACTTTTAAACTACTTTCTGTATATTTTTAACTCAGTAAGTTTACTGCGTGTTTTTTTTTATCTTGGTTTTAAGAAGGTTTTAAGAAGCAAAAAGCAATAACAAGCCAACTGTGGCTGGCTAATTCCAGAAAAGCTAAGCAGGCTTTGGCCTGGTTAGTTCTTGGGTGGGAGAGCACTAGAAAATCCCTCAGCTCTTGAAATATCTCCTGGAAGAAGGCAATGGCAAACTAGTTTTTTTACTGCTGCCAAGGAAATTACACTGAGGGGTGGATACAGTCATCAAGAGTCATTCAAGCTCAGCTCAAGTAAATCATTACCTCTAAATTGGATTATTTTTTAAGTGTTTTTTAAAATTTGGAATATAAATCATGTTAGGATTCATATTATGAAGGGCAGCTTTTGTCCAAAACAAAAGATACAGAATGTTTCTAGATTATTCTTTTAACAGAATTTAAAACATCCTAACTCTAAACTCCATGCATTTATTCTGATGGAGTTTTGACAAATGAAACTTCAACAACACTTGCAAAGTCATTGTCCTATGGGAAAGGATTTTTGTCAGCCACAATTCTAAAAATGGACTCACACAGACACATGCAAACTCACACTCGTGGTCAAAATAATAAATGCGCCTCTCTGCCTGAAATTTGGCAGCATTTATTCCTACATTTCAGTTGACTCTAAACTCCCTCCATCTACAGTATTTCTTTAAAATGTTATGGGTTTTATCCCGTCAGAAGGACCTGTGGTGCCTGCCAATTTCATTCTATTGTGTTACAAACATCAATCCAATTATTAATTCCCTGTCATGCTTCACATCATGGTTCAGACTTAGGGCCTTTCTCACTGCTGAGTTCACGTTATCCACCCACCCTTAAGTCAGCAAAAAATTATATCAGCATCACATTTTCTCCCACATTGCCATCTCTATGTTGCCTTGATTCTGAGTGATACTGTCCTGATTACGTGCACTATGTGATAAGCAAAGTATTTGGCAGAGAAAAAAATACTCCAATTATGACACTCCCTCAGGAATGGGGTGGGTCTGACTCTTGGACTCTATTCTAGGTTTCTTCCAGTGCCCCTCCTCCTACTCACTGTTTTGTCATTGCCCAAGCTGAATGAAGTTTTTTTAAAAAAAAAGTCATGAAGGAAGTCATGAAGGAGTTGCAAACAGCTCCTTCTTTATATTAGCAAGAAATGTTGACTTCCAAGTTCCTCTGTGTTCCGCTTGGAAGGAAGTGGATTGGTCTTATAATTTCTTTTACTAAACTGTTTCATTTTTCTACTAAACAGTAAGGCATATCAAGTTAAAACACATTGCTCCAGTTGAGAAATCTAACACTCATGTGCAATTCTTTTTTTTAATGAAATTTTTATTAAGAATTTTAATTATAATAGTAAAAACTAATACAAACTAAACTTAAAGAAAAAGAATGGAAAAAAGAATAAAAAGTGCAGGGAAAAAGAAAAAGAAAGAAGAAAATGAAAAGAAACAATATTTGCTAAAATTGCAGAATG